TGATGTCCCACGGTAAAGACAACCCAGCTCTGCTTCCCATGGCCAGGGGGCTCTCATGGGGTCAGTGGCTTTTGTCACTGGAGTAACAGGGAGCACTTTGCTCTCAGGAGAAAACCTTTTCAATGTGTTCATCTTTCGAGCTCACATCCTTTTCATGTTTCCTATCATCGTCGTCAGCATGTTCTGCGTAGGCAGGCCTGGCTGTGCATGCGGTGTGGTGAGCAGGGTTTGTTAGACAAAGTCACTTTGGGGTCTAAAATAGCGCTTATTAGTTTGGGGATGCGGCGGCGGCTCCTCTGCCCATCGCTCCTAACGCGGCTCTTTAGAAAACCCAGAGGCCAATTATATAGATTTAACCGGTAATGAGCCTAGAACTGTTTGATCATTTCGGCTCCCGCTGCGCCGGTGGGAAGAGGACGAGACGCTGCTGCCGCGAGAAGCGTGGGGCTCTGCTGCCTCTTCGTGGTGAGGACGGCGAAGGAGCCGCTCCCCCCGCGTCCCCTCCGTGTCCCCAGCCAGCGCTGGAGGCAAAGCCCAGGCAGCAAGGCTGGGAACGTGCTGGTTGTTCGGGGCAGTCCCCCGCCAGGCCATCTAACGGCCTTAAAACTTCCTTGCACATCCTATTACCAAACCCGCCGGCTCCGATCTGCAGCTGAGGAGCAGAGGTGCTGGACGCGCTGATGCGCACGGAGCCGTGGGGCTGTGGGCGCCGGTGACGCCGGCTCACTGCCGTCAATCCCTGTACGAACAGGGCTGGGAACGGAACCCCAGGGATTGCTGTTAATCTTCGACAGGGAGCTGCTACAGAGTGAAGCTGGATGCAGCAGTGGAGTGTGGGACAGGGCCCTGCTCGGGCATGGGAGCGTGTCCTAGAGCGGAGGACGCAGGAGGGTGGGGAAAACCGAAAGCAGCCGGGGCTGGCTGCGTGCGGCAGGAGGAGCGAGCGCAGACCTCGCTCCCGGCAGGATGGCCGCTCCCGCTGCCTTCACGGAGGCCGAGTTTTACCAGCGCCACTTCGACCCGCAGGAGTACCTGCGGGAATTCTGCAGCCTGAGCAACGTGCAGGGCCAGCCGAACACGCTGCTCACCCAGAGCCTCAGGAGCCTCTTCGGCGTGTTCGCCTTGGGTGAGTACCCCACACCCCTGCCGGAGTTGGGCAACAGCCGCCAGCGCCATTTGCAGGGCTGCAGGCTGCTGCATGTGTGCCCCACACAGCGAGCCGTCTGGTATGTATATAAGCATGCACGCATATTGTGTATCACATATAGTATAGTACATTATAGAGCAGAAGTATCTGGCTGGATGTTCCTGCCCCGGGGCACAGCCTCACAGGGATGGCCTTTCCCTCCTCCACACCAGACGATCTCAGGGGCCATACCCTGATAGATGTTGGCTGCGGCCCCACCATCTACCAGCTTCTGTCCGCCTGCGAGCGCTTCCAGGAGATCATCTGCTTGGACTACACAGACCAGAACCGCCGGGAGCTGGAGAAGTGGCTCAGGAATGAACCGGGAGCCTTTGACTGGAGCCCGGTGGTGAAATACGTGTGTGAGATGGAAGGGGACAGGTGAGGCTGGCTGCTCGGAGCCACGGCCACAGAGCATGTGAAGGTGCTGAATAACCCCATCACGAGCCTCTGTCTGTCTGTCTCTTTATTGACTTGCCAGGGAGAAGTGGGCTGAGAAAGAGGAGAAAGTGAGGAAGAAGGTGAAGCAAGTTCTGAAGTGTGACGTGACGAAAACCAACCCCACGGCCCCCCTGTCCCTGCCTCCCGCTGACTGCATCGTGTCCACCCTCTGCCTGGAGGCCGCCTGCAAGGACCTGGCCACGTTCTGCAGTGCCCTGAGGAACATCAGCACCCTGGTGAAGCCGGGGGGGCACCTGGTGATGGTGACGGTCCTCCAGGAAACCTTCTACGCCTTCAACAAGCAGGTTTTCTCGTGCCTCTGCCTGGAGAGGAGCATGGTGGAGGAGGCTGTGGAGGGCGCTGGCTTTGATGTGAAGCTCAGCGAGGCGCAGCCGTACGTGCCCGGTGATGCCCGCACGGACTGCAGAGCCGTGCTGACCCTCGTGGCACGCCGGCGTGCATCCACCACCGCATAGCACATGGGCTCGGGGGGGAAGCTGCAGTGTGCCTTGTGTCCTAAATCCTTGCCCGTGAAACCCATCCCTTTACCTGAAAGCAAATAAACTCATGAGTGCTCCAGTGGTGGTGTGGGCTGGGATTTGTGCTGGGAGCTTGTCCAAACCCAGACCCATTTCTGGTTTCTGGGCACATCCCTTGTGCCCTCTGAAATGCCAGGGGGGAATGCGTGCTGTCAAGGGGAGCAGTGCACCCTGCACCCAGACAGGCCCCAGCTCCCGCAGAACCAGGGCTGCCTGCCCATCTGTGTGGGTGTAACAAGTGTTGGGGACAGTGCTGTGGCTGCAGCAGTCTTGACCCGCTGGGCACTGGCAGAGCTGCCAATGGGAGCTTGAAGGGTTGGTGCATGGCAAGGACGCTCTTCCCAAAGCAGCCTCCTCTGCTTGCAGCGCTGCTGGCCACACACAGCGGCTCTGCTGCTGCAGCCAGACCTGCAACATACCAGAGATTCAGCTTAGAGACACTTGAGCCGAGCATTGTCAGTCAGAATTTGTGTCAGTGCACTCCACATGCCTCAACCCGCAGCAGCTCTTAGGGGCAGTGTGGGATTGGTGACTGAAGCTCCTCCCTTGCTCATACCTGCTTTCTTATGGGGTAGTTTTGGTTCAAGAATGAATACAGAAGTGAGACATTTTCTCACCCACTATACAGGAGGAGCCCTGTCACAAACTGATGACTTATGACAGCAGTAAGGGAGTGAGTGTGAAACAGACCAGGAAGAGTCTGAAGGTCGGAATGAGTCACATGCCCCAGATGCTGTACAAAGAGCACAGTGCTCAGCACACCCTGCAGGGATCAGTGGCACTTGCCTTCCTCTCCACCCCCTGCCTTTCAGTTTGCTGACAAGAACCTGATCAAAACCCCTCCACTAAACCCTCCCTGGCCCCAGTGGTGCTCGTTTTCAGCACTGCCACAAGCACTGGGAACAACTTTGTTGCCCGGCTCCAAGACACGGAGCTGGACACCAGTGGTGTTTCAGAAGCTGCCCTCTGGCTGCCCCACTTGCTGCTTACCTCTGGATGTAATAGCTAATGCTGGATAGAAGCTGCTGCTTCTGAGGGCCATAAAGCCCCCCTGTGCCTGCCAGGGGTGCAGCAGAGGCAGGAATTCAGCAGCTGCTGCCACGCTCCCTGGAACACGCTAGCGCCTTTAGTTGCTGTTTAACTGTTCCAACACGGGCATCACCGGGTTTTTATGGTCTGCTTCAAAAGCACAACGATTCCCTTCACGGGGAAGTTTGTAGCTACAATTCTCCTTCTGTCACAGCCTGAGGAGGTGCTGAACAGCTCTCCCGGCCAAGAGCCTGGTACTGTTCTGCTGCTTCATGTGCCCTGTCTGAGCATGCAGCCGCAGCAGTGAAGCAGGACCATGGCCCAAGCCCAGTGCGTTCAGTACTGTCGTGGTTTAACCCAACCAAACAGCTTGCTCACTTACTCCCAGTGAGTGGTGCCAGGCGTTAGTCCGCCCCCCCCCCCCTTCCCCAGGGGCTGCCGCCCCCTTTCCCCGCTCCCAGGTGCTGGTTTTGGCTGCTCCCCTCTCTCTCTGTGCAGCCTCAGATGCTCCACGGCTGCAGTGATGTGATGCTTGTTTCCAGGAACATTGATGTGTCCTGGACCACCATGCCAGGCTACAGACACAGGGACACAGGGACACAGGAGGAGTAAAACACCCAGTGTCTCTTCTAATGCTGCAAACAGAATGGGAAGTGGCTGAAATCTCATGAATGCCTGCGGATACGGAGGGAAAAAGGGCACTGAAGGAGTGTGGTTTGCCCCCCAAAGCAAAAAAACCCTTTTGGTTTTCCATTCTGCTGCTTTGAAGAGCAAAAAGGGCAGGAAACAGTAACACAAGAAGGGAAAAACAGTTCCCTGCTCCCTCACCTCGTGGTTCCTTGGGTCTGGGATGTGCTGTGCAATACCTGAGCCATCAGTACCTGCTGCAAGTGGAGGCTGGCTGCGGATGGTCCTGGCCTGGCCATAGGGAGCGGGCTGGCGGTGGTGTGAACGTGGCACGAGCTCCCAGCGAGCCCAGTGGGACCCAGAACGCAGGAAGGGAAGAAAGCAGAGGAAGTAAACGAGGCTCCAGGGAAATTAAGGCAAAGTGGGAGCCCTGGCAGCACGAGGTAATCATTTCCTTTCTGAACGAGTAACCGGCTAGAATCTAACCAGGCGCACACCATTAAAGCAGATGAATATAAATTCTAGGTGCGGCAGCAAGTAATGGAGTGAAGAAAATGCACAGCACCTCATTAACAAAGAAAACAGGATCTGCCATAACGCAGCGCAACCGAATGGAAGATGAAGGCGCAACTTCCCCGCCAAACTTTCCCCAGATGGGAAATGCCCCGGGTTTACACCCCGCACCTTCCGAGGCAGCTGGCACCGGGAAGAGCCGTTGGAGGAGGCACGGGGAGGGCTGAAACAGCCGGGAGACGCTGCCCGGCCTCACCAGGCACCCGACGCACCCCTTCCCCGACACCTCCCTCAGCGCTGGCCATGGCACATGGGCGGCTGCAGCAGCACCCATGGGAGACAAGGGGCCGGAGGCGCAGGAGAGGCCCCCCCGCAACCCCGCGGGGATCCGGGCTCTTGGCGCTCCCACCCCCCCCGCACACAACCGCCCCGGGGCGTTCAAACCTCGGTCACGGTTCTACCGGCCGAACCCAGCGGCCGTGCCCCGCTGTAGCCGCGGCCGGTCCAAAGCGCACACCCCCTGCAGCGAGAGCCCGGATTTATTGTGACCACCACCGACCGAGCGCCGCGCTCGCCACCGGAAGGCTCCGCTCCCGGTCTCCGCTCCCTGCCCGCCGGTACCGGCCCCTCTCCAGGCCACGCCCACGGAAGGGGCGTGGCGCGCACACCGCCGCACTGACGTCAGGAGGGCGGCGCCGCTGAGCGCGCGCTGCCCGTGCGCGGCCATGGGCGCTGCGGCCGAGCTGGACCGGACGCTGTTCGTGGGGAACCTGGACCCGCGCGTCACCGAGGAGCTCATCTTCGAGCTGTTCCACCAGGTACCGGCCGCACCGGCGCCGCCCGCCCGCGCCGCACAACGGGCAGGCCCGCGGCTGCAGCGCGGGTTCGGGATCGACCCCGGGTACGGCGGCCGCCGGAGGACAAACGTGTGTGTTTAACGCGCGTGCTGGTCGGTTGCAGGCGGGCCCGGTAATTAAGGTGAAGATCCCCAAGGACCGGGATGGGCGGCCCAAGCAGTTCGCGTTCGTGAACTTCAAGCACGAGGAATCCGTCCCGTACGGGCTCAACTTGTTGAACGGGATCAAGTTGTACGGGCGGCCCATCAAGATCCAGTTCCGATCAGGTACCCGCGATGGGGGACAAGGGGAGGCGGAAGCAAAACTCTTTATCTGCATCCTCCTCCAGACAGCATCCAGTGGCACCCGGATTGGTGGGCAGGACAGCCGTGGTGTCTTGGTGGGCTGCGTGCTTTTGCAGGTCACTGATGAACCCCAAGAGCTAATGAAGCCTGTGGGAAAAGCGTCTCACACATTCACGTCACCCCCGAGTGCCTCCAACTCGTGTTTCCCGGTCTCACAGAACGTTTCTTTCTCTGCAGGAAGCAGCCACGCGGCTCAGGAGTCTTGTTCCCCCCAGGGCACCACCAGCACCAGCCCCTTGGGTGTGCCGCACCCAGCATCCACCGGCAGCAGGTATGGGCCCCGGTGCTTAGTTTCCAACAGCAAAACACAACTGTGATGGCAGTGCCCCTGGACTGCTGTAGGCTGGTGTTTAAGGCTGACATTCCTTGTGTTTCTCTTCTCCTGCAGATACGACAGGAGTCCTGATGGCATGGTACCAGCAGGGTTCCCGTCAGCTCATCGGTCTCTGCCAACAGCTGACAACCTCCAGAGACAGGCGATGGTACGCTCTTTGCTTGTCCTAATGGTGCCCATAGCTGGCAAGTGATGTATGATGGTGTTGTCTCTGGTTTTGAGCACTTGTTTCCTATAATGATCCTGAGAGGTTGTAGGAATGGGGTTTGGGGGGGGGGGGAGATGACAGTTCCAGAGGAATGTTTCCTGCTGCTGAGCTGGGTGACATGGGGTTGTGTTGAGGTTTAGGAGTGTTGCTGTAGTGGAAGTAGCCAGTAACAGCTGCTCTAAGGTAGTGTTTAGCTCTGTTTTGGAGCCAAACCCCTTCAATTCCCTTGTATTTAGAGTGGGATGAAGGCTGGTTTCTCCACCACAGAATGGCTCAAGCAAGTGCACCAAACCCACTGACCCTTTTCCTCTTCTCCCCACAGCTGAACAGTGCTTTGTGGCCACAGCCTCATTTTGGGGGCAAGTACGAGCAACCCGGCTTCAGCCCTCCCGGCTACCAGCCCCCTGCGTACAGCTACCACCCCGCCACCGGCTGCTCGCTGCCACGGCACCCAGAGCTGCTGCGCAAGAGCCGGCTGGGCGCCCACCCGTACCACCCCGATGGGCGGCACGGCAGCCGCGAGCAGCCCCGCTTCGGGGAGCGTGGCCACGACCATGAGCACCGCTACCGCGCCAGCAGAGAGGAGCCTGGCTACGACGACCGGCACCAGGATAGCTGGAGCCATGACTACAGGAGAGAGCCCAGGTGGCACCCGGTGCGGCATTAGCCACTCGGAGGGGGCTTTGATGGACTCCATGGCATAGAAAGCGCAACCCCTTTCTTACCAAGTACATGTGTGAAAAACACAACCTTGACAACGTTACCTTTTAATGTTTGTACAAGTTCCAGCAGCGGTCCCGAAACCGGCATCTCCACTTTGAATATGTTAATTGTACCTCAGGGCTTTTCACAGGGGAACCAGTGGTCTGGGGCAGCGGCAGCCGTTTGCTGGTGGGATGGAGAAGCTGCCAACGCCGTTTGTGTTCGATGGGAAGGCGCCATGTCCATTGCCTGGTGTCTTTAATAGTTGGTGGTGTCACTGATACGGAACACTCGAGTGTATCAGAGAAAAGCATTAAATCCTCCCTGGAAACCCCCCGTGTGCAAACTGTCCTTTCCCTTCCCTTTGAGCCTCCCTCTGCCGTTACCCGGGGGCGGGCGAGGCTGCGGTCCAGCGCAGCGCAGCATCGTGCCCTGCTGCCGCCGCGACTACATCTCCCAGCATCCCCCGCGCCAGCCGCCCGCCTGCCCGCGGGTCGCGGCACCGCGGGGCCTGCCGGGAGCTGTAGTTCGGCGGCGGCGCTTTGCGGCCTGGCGGCGATGCTGGGCGGCAGCCGCGCCGGCCTGAGCCGCCTGCGGAGCTGCGCCGGGCGGCTGTGGCGGGGCCGGCGGCGGGCGGCGGCCATGGCCGGCGGCGACATGGGCCAGCGCATGGTCTGGGTGGACCTGGAGGTGCGGGCAGCACGGGACGGGAGGCGGCGGGAGGGACGGGGGACCCGCGGCCGTGCTGACGGTGCCGCTGCGCTCTGTGGCAGATGACGGGCCTGGACGTGGAGAAGGACCAGATCCTGGAGATGGCCTGCCTCATCACCGACTGCGACCTCAACGTGCTGGCCGAGGTGAGGGGCCCTGCCGCCGGCACGGGCCTGCCTGCTCCCGGCGGTGCTACGGGGAGATAACGGCCCCCGCTGCTCTCCACCGGCCCCGGGAGGAGGGCGTGGGGCGGCCGCCGGCCCTGGGCAGGGCTGAGCCGGCGCTTCATGCCCTCAGAACGGCCGCTCCTCCCGCCGTGGGCATCGCCGGGCCCTGTCCGGGTGGAAACCGCTCGGTTCCAGGCTCGGGGGTGTTACCTTTGCCGTCTTCTCTTCCCGCCAGGGCCCGAACCTGATCATTAATCAGCCCGACGAGCTGCTGGAGAGCATGTCCGAGTGGTGCAAGGAGCACCACGGGAAGGTAACGCTCCTAGAGCAAGCATGCTGTGATTCCCCTCTCTCTGCCGCCGTGGGAACCATGTGTCGGTCAGGATGAGGAGTTGGGGTACAGCCACCTGGAAAGCTGTGCTGTGCAGTTTGCAGTCAGAGGGCAGTAGCTTCTCTTATATCAAGTGGCATTCCCCCCATCTATCTTACCTTTACAAATTCTTTTGCTGTGTGACTGTTTTGCTCAAGAGTTCTGGCCCTTTTTAAGTTGTTGTCTAATCTTGTGTCTTTAGCAAGCTTTATTTCTGTTATTGTAAACTCGTAGAGTTATATCCACATAACCACATCTATGATTTGCAAAAGCCAAGATATTTATGTGTTTATAACATGGGATAAAGAACAGCAGACAGTAAGTATCACCCTTAGTTTGTGCTGAGGAGGTGATGTGTACTGCTTTGTTCAAGGTCTCATGTGCAGCTGCAGATTGCGTCCCTGAACCTTCACTCCTCATCCAGTATCTCAGCCACACAACGGCCATGAAGTGGCCCGTGCCTCGTAGCCCGGTTCTTAATCAGTTTGAGCAGTGTGGGAGATGCTGTGTGAGCTGCGATGGCTGGAGCAGCAGCTTGCGGGGGAGCTGCAGGCAGGGTGAGACAGGTGACTCGGGCAGCTCCTCTGGGTGAAGCCTGCTCTGTGCTGCACAGAATAAAGCAAAACCATTCCAGTGGGGACGGGGAAGGTGTTGCTTGAAGTCCCAGCTGAAAACAGGCACAGGATGGGTGTAGAGCAGCCCAGAGCTGACAGAATGCACATTCCTCAGTACAGATTCAGGTACCTGCAGGATTAAAGAGGCTGAAATGCTGTGAAGAGGGGTTGTTATTTCTGCCTGTCCCCTCAGCACTGTGCCCCCACTGTCAGGTTTTCACTGAAAGCTGAACTGCAGCAAGGGATTATTCTCATTAGTTCTTCCAGCCACCGAGGGAAGCCTCCTTGCCAGCAGCAAGAAAGTGAACGGATTTTCCAATCCCTGATTGAGAATTGAAATTGAAGTTACTTTTCAATTAAGGCTGAAGTTTGAAGATGCTGTAAGCCCCCCTCCCTTTGGCACCTCGCTCTCCCCAGGAAGGATTAGCAGGAGTTTGGAAAAGGAATATTAATTTACCGTGCTGGGCGCCTTTCCCCTTCCCCAGCGGAGGACTCGAGCTCGGCCGCGCTTCAGGAGTGGGCTGGAGACGGCAGCACACGCTGCCACTGCTCCTCAGGAGCTACTTACTTTTAATTGCCTAAGAAAAGAGAAGCAATTAGAATGTAGATGAAAATGCAGCCACATAATGAATTTTTTAACCACCACTTGGATCTGTCAAGTAGAGTTTTGCGGCACAGGCGTGGAAATATATAGAGCAGCCAGATGGAAATAAATCACTGCGAGTGCATGCAGCAGGTTTGACATTTAACTGGTGGGAAAAGGGGGAGGGAACGCTTCTGATTTATAGCACTCTTGGTAAACACTTGAGCAGGATCCTGATTCTTTGTGTTGGTTTATACCTCTGTGTATGTGCTGTGCTGGGGCAGGTGAGTGCTGCTCCTGAAGCAGGGAGAAGCAGGACACTCTCCTGGGTCATCCAGGTGCAGGCGGATACACGAGGCCTCTCTCATGTCTTGGTAATGGAGAAGCACCCCTGAAATGACAGCAGCCAGAAACAGAGAACCCCCAACTCCCAGCAGTGGCAGTGTCGTGAGGCCTGTGCTGCAGCCGCCTTGATTCCTGTTGGGTTTTCCTTTATGGCAGCATTTTCATGTGTTTGTGGTTGGTGACACCTGGCTCTTTCTTGCAGTCTGGCCTTACCAAGGCTGTGAAGGAGAGTAAGATTTCCCTGCAGCAGGCAGAGTACGAGTTCCTGTCCTTCGTGCGGCAGCAGACCCCGCCGGGTGTCTGTCCCCTTGCAGGTACGTGTGTTCCATCTTACCCACAGCGACAGTGGTGCTGGTGCTCGTGGTGGGGTATGCTGGTGTCTGTGCAGGCAGCTCAGATCCTGCTCAGTAAGGAGGGGCTCAGCCAGGGCATCACCCGTTGTGCTGACTCCCTGAAGTGGCTGTTGCACATCATTCCAGTTTCAGTTCTTTCGTGCATTAACATTTCTGTGTACATTTGCAATCGAGGCAGGCAGCCTAACTGCTGACAGCCATCTCTGACCATAGAATCCCAGCAGCAACCCAAAGGAGTCTTCTCCTTGCTGTGCATGGAACCAAACATCAAATACAGATCTCCCCATTGTCCTGCCACAACATTCCAGCTATTCACATATAGTCTTGGGACTGGTGTTAAGTGAAATTAATACCAGGGCCCATTTTCCCTCAGCAGAGAAGCTGATGCTTGTGTAAATACTTGTAAGACAGGTAAATACTTGGATACTTACCAGCGTGACAGAAATGGTAGGAGCAATCTGAATTATTATAGAGGGACTGAGTATTTACACCATGCCTGATCCCACAAGGAAAGTCTGACAAACCTTTGCAATCATATTTGCTAGCAAAAGGGCTAAACAAGCTGCTTGGGAATAGCTTGTCCTACCCCTCATCTCTGCCCAGCTTGCTCAACCACTCCCCTTAGGTGTCATTTGCAGGAGCTTTGCAACATCACTAAGCTAACATCTTGTTTTGTGTCTCTGTAGGTAACTCTGTTCATGCAGATAAGAAGTTTCTTGACAAATACATGCCACAGTTTATGAGGCATCTTCATTACCGGATCATTGACGTGAGCACTGTCAAAGAACTTTGCAGGTCAGTGTTCCCTGCAAGACCAATCCTGTGAGGAAGGATCCAGGGAAACCTGTTAATGTGGTGCTAATGATGCTCTTGTCAGATGAGGTTAAAGGCTGCAGGGGCAGGAGGGCTGCTGCCAGCCTCCTCCTCCTTTTGTCTGTTCCCCCCTGGTGGGGACACAGGATGAGACCTGAGCTGCTCTTGAGTGCTGGGTGCTGGGGTTTGCAATGGCAACAAGACCACAGCAGCGACCTGATGTGTTCTTTAATCCCATTTCCCTTTTTCCCCACTTCCAGACGCTGGTATCCAGAAGAATACGAGTTTGCACCAAAGAAGGCGGCTTCTCACAGGTGAGGTTGCTGCTTCTGTCTGTACGGGAGTCATGCAGGGGCTTCACGAACAGAATGTGGAGTTTCCTTTTGAGTTGCGGGCACACTGCTTCCAACACAGGCAGCGGAGCTGCTGTCCCCCATCATATGTTTGTATTCTCCTGTCTGAAGCCTGGTTAGTGTAGGGAAAGGGATTATTAAAACAGTTTCAGGAGTTCATCATGTGTCAGGGTGCTGTTCGGTGCTTGGAACTTTTACTGTCCTAAGGGCAGTGGGAAGGAGTCACGGAACCTTTGCCACTCTGCTCTGGCAGTGGTGCTGGGCAGGCGAGGGGGATCTGGTACAAGGAAAGGAGGGACGACTGTTGTGGTGGTCTCCATGGAGATGAGGGGGTGTCTGTGCTGCACAGCGAGGTCACTCCTTCGTATAGACCTTGCTGTCTGGTGGAGCAGGACAAAGCAGGAGCTGGAGCGGGTCTCCAGGGCCCCCATCTCTTGTCTCAGATTGAATTGCTTTTAATAGTGGAAGCTGTAGAACCTGTTGGCTTTCGGGAGCTTCCATGTCCCACGGTGCCATAAACTAATAAGCTGTGTATTCCTGTCAGTGCTGCTGGACTTTATTGCTCTCCATGTAGCCAGGACTGAAAGGGCTGTTTCGATTTCCAGTGGAGGTGTGATCCCTGCCTGTCAGAGCTGGGTCTGTCACAGCCGGAACCAAGATGTAGCTGGAGATGACCCATCTCAATTCTCTTTCAGAGCACTGGATGACATCAGGGAAAGCATCAAAGAGCTTCAGTTCTACAGAGATAGCATCTTCAAGAGGAAAACGGATGAAAAGAAAAGGAAGCTGATAGAGAATGGAGAAAGCGAGAGGAGCGCCAGCTGATCGCTCGCCTCGCCCTGCAGCCCGTAGCAAATGCTTAGAAGCATATCCCGGTTCTTTTCTGTTTGCCAGCCTCTTGAGAAGCTGTGCCCTTTCCTTACCTTATTTCTTATCAGCTGTTAACATGCAGGTGGAAGCCCAAGTTACTTCTGCTTTTCTGTTGGAGGATGAGTCAATGCGTGCAAGCCTCAGCAGTGCCCTTCTCTGTCTCCTAGGTAAAGCACATGGCTTGATCCTCCTCTTTGCCCTGTTTTAGATGCAGTCTTTCCCAACACAATTAAAATAGAGTTCTGTTGAAAGATGGTGTATTTGCAGCCTTGGTTTTGCTCTCACTGTAACTGGGTGAACTGGTGTTTGGCAGCTTGGCAAAAGAAAATGCTCTGGGAGGTGATTTTCATTCTACAGACTGAGCGCTTTGCCAAGGACAAGAAGGGGTTTTCCTCCTCCATGGATGAAAGCACGGGCAGCATCGCCATGAGCACTGTTAGAGGGCAGGTCACAATGTGGCTGGACATCCCTTCTCACCATTAATTGCTGAAGGACATTGAGCAAACCCCCAGCACCAACATTTCCTCTTCCTTCTCCTTTTCAGTTCCCTCTCTGGTGCCTGGTATTGCCATTGCTCCCTCAGCAGTGCGAGTGAACAGGCTAAAAGCTCTCTGAACACTGCACAAGCTTCACATGAGGCACCCAAGGGGGCACATTGATTTAATGGAAGTATTTATGTGCCCACTGAAGCTTTTTGTGTGCTCACTGTTTCCTACATGGGTTAGTACATGCACTCCTATATACACGGTGACAGCCACAAGGTGCTCTGCAGCCTGTGATCTGCCCTCATGGGACATGGGCAGGTTTTCCCTCCTGTTACCAATATCACCACAGACTCTCACGTCACCAGAAACACTGCCTAAAAGACTCATTGCCAGCAGTAAGGGAGTTTGCAAATCCTCACATCAGCTCACAGGTCTGGCCATTGAAAACATCCTGCCCCTCCTAAACAGAGTCAGTTTTAGCCAACAGCACAATGGACAGAAAAACTCGTAGCCCCACGTTGCTTTTGGGGAGGCATTTGCTGGAGGAGATCTCCCTCTCCCCGCTGCAGTGCACCATTGGTCATTGCTACCATCAATCTGCCACCAGCCGCCCCAAGGAAAGTGCTGCCAGGCTACGAACCAAAAGGGTATCAAAGAGCACACAAGGTGTACGTCTCCCTCATTTGCTTTTATTACGGGTATTAATAATAATGACCATCCGAGGCTTCTCAATCACTCTGATCATTTGAACACCTGCTCTTCTAACCATGGGAACGGTTGTTATTAGAGAGAGGCCATTAAAATGGTTAATGGGGCAAATAAATGAGTCTTTGAAACGTCCCTCTCCTCTGCCACTGATGCTGGGCAAGTGGGAAGTTTAAATGTGGTTCCTTTCTTTCCTGCACACTGGTACCTGCAGGAGGGCTCAAACCCCTCAGGCCGGGCAGCTCCAAGGGGCACCTCCAGCAGCCTCCAGCCCTCCTCATGCCCACACACTGTCCGGGGTTATTTGCCACAACCCGTGCCTGTGTAGAGGCCCAAGGAACGGAGCTGAATGAGACCAAGGACACGCGGTGCACGCAGCAGGAAGCTGCCTGGAGCCACGCGCCGGCGGGATCCGCTTTGGCTTTGATTTCCGTTTTGTTAGTTTCCCCCTTTCCTTTGACGGCTCCTTCCTGACCCACTTCTCCTCCTTTTCATATTTTATTCCTTTTTAAGGGGCTTTTATTTTTCTCAAAACATTTCTCTTTTTTAGGGAAATCTGCCATCTGTGTTTATCCATTTTTAAACGTTGTTTATTCTGCTTCTGAAGCCACGGTGCCGTGTGAAGGATTTTTATCTGTTTCCTGCAGTAGCATCCCTGTTTCTGCGTGCCGGTGTCGTTTGAGGTTCTGATTCAGTCCTAATTTGTCACACGCCTCGGCAAAGCAGAGATAAAACCCACCAAAGCGGGTGGCACTTGTGAGCGGCAGCGGAGCCCTGTCCTGCACCAGGCTCGGGATTCACTTCAGCAAAGTGCTGTATGAAAGCTACCAACTGATTGAAGTGGCCTCGCTCATAACCAACCAACCACAACACGCAACAAAGCCTTGTCCACACTGCCACGAGGACACCTCTTCCACAGGATAGCTTTCCGTGCTGTCCCGCATCCCGTGCCCATCCTGGAGCTCACCCAGCAATGTGGTACCCAGGCTGTGGCCACATCGGCATTCCAGCACGCCTGCAGCCCCTGGGAATGGTGATGCGAGTAACAGTGGATATTTGGTAGTTAAAAAAGCAGAATCACCTGAAGGCAAACACAGAGTGTGCCTGGGTTTTTCAATTTAATTTAATAAATTATCTTGGCTCCAGTAATTATTTATTTGAAACAGGAATTAGCTCAGAGGCCCCAAGTTCTTTTAATACTACATTAATAAAGTAACCACAGATTACTGGTACAATTCCAGAGCAAGCTAACAGACAGCAGAGCTTATCCTGACCAGGGTTTGAGCTGTTCTCACCCTGAACACACAACTGCTCTGGTCGGAGCACCCACCCTGGTGCAGCAGAAGCATCATCCCACAGTTAAAACACCACCAGTAACCTCGATGCAGCCTGCCCCAGGGAGGAGGTTTACTGATAAATAAGCTGACAAATACTGCGTGCTTCCCTTTTCCAGCCCTAAATCAACATTTTCCCCACGTTCTATCAAGCTCTAGTTATATATATCTGGCAAAAATACCCCAAACCCAAAACAACCCACCCAGACAACCAGAACAGTTGCTGACTGGCTCCAAATCCTGTGGGAGGTTTTAGCAGAGCTTCAAATCCCACTTACAATTCCCACACCAGCTCTCTGTCCATGTTAGTGACAGCATCCTCACCCTCCTCACACACAACTACTCCAGAGCAGCACTGGCACCATCCACATCCATCCACAACCCTCTTTTTCCCCTCCCTGCACCTCTCAGTCTGTCCATCCATCCACCCTGTACTACCTGGGTACAAACCCCTCATCTACACGCTCAGGGGACAGGGATGCTGCAGCAGCCAGCGCTGGCACCGGGTGCTGCTGCACAGGCTCAAGGTCGGCCGCAGAGAGCCTGGAACAGAAACCCTTCATGCAGCTCCTTCCTCGTGTGTTTTTCCCTCCCGCAGCAGTTGATGATACCCTTTTACTGGAACAACTCGCTGGTGCTGACAGATGAGCTTTCAGGATGGTGAAATCTCCATGACACTTTAAGTGCCCTACATGACAAAACAAGGACGTGCAGAATTACCCCACCAGTATTCCGTAAAACACAACTTGTCACAAACCACTGTGCTGTGAGGACAGGCCAGCCTGCCTTCCTGCCTCGAGCAATCCTGCCCACGGGCACAGGGAACGGGGAGCAGAGGGTCATGGTGAGGAAGAACCTCCTGAGGAGGACGGAGCCTCCTCCGGGCATAAGGGAACCAGCACTTCCATAGGCAGAGCTGCCTCTTCCTGTCCCTCAGTAATGGGTGGGAGCCAAGTGGCTGGGAATTGCTGGGTGCTGAAGCGATGCTTTAGGTGTTGTGCTGAAGGAGCTCAGTGCTGTGTGCAGGATGCCGACCGTCAGTCAAGTGCCAAGGGAGGTGGGGAGGAAGAGGTGACAGTCGGACAGATCCCTCCCCAGCACTGTTGGGGACAAGGGAATAAACGGGCACAAGCAGCCTGATGTGGTAATGGTAGGACAGAGCCCAACAGAGAAATTGTTTTGATGACTCCAAAAGGCCAGGACAGCAAACGAATGATTCATGTGCACAACCTTCAACACCTCCAGTACGAGGCGCCCGCCCATTGCCCATGCTCTCCCCACAGACCCCAGAGCTGTGCCTGGGCTGCCACACGAATCCCTGCTTCTGAGCAGGTCCCCATGCACAGTGCAGCCCAAGGGTGCCTGTGCCCCCCAAGCAAGGCTGCTCCCAGGCCACGGTCCCTCCCTGGGGCCAAACACAGCACATCATGGGATAAGAATTCCCCAAGGACTTCTAATGACACCGCACACTGAGGCAGGATTCACCAGGGCTGAGCCTCCCTCTTCCTCTAAAGCCAATGTTTGCAGTGATAGGTAAAGGAGAGGGATCCACAGAGATGGTTGCCAGTGCAGATCAGGCTGCAGGAAGCAGTCACTGCACCCAGCTCTAACCCGATGCAACGTTTTACTGACTGAAGACCAAAGCCTTTCCTCTGCACAACTGTTCTGTAATGAAAGCACAGCCTGCACGAAGGCACAACTGATGTCTCCCTGCAACTTCCCCGTCCACGGCTCCTCTCCCGCACTGCGCCAGCCCCGTGCACTGCACCGGAATCAAAGCAAATCAAGTGAAATAACGTGTGCTCCCGACCCAGGCAGACAAGACCGGAGGGAGGATCACGCTCTCCAAACTTTGCAGAAGGGAAATGAAGCGCAGAGAGATGAAGTGACCTGCTTAAGGTCGCATGGGGAGTTTGCAGAGACAAGAACTGAGCCGAGATCTCCAGGGTCCTCATCTACTTCTTCCACTGCTGCACATCCCTTCCTCCTTGCCTCTGGATAGCCCAGCTAAAAATACAACTGCATTTCCTTTCCCTTTGGCAGCAACACGACTTCAGTGCAGAAGTCTGTGAAGTGCCTGGGCCGCAGCGTCACCAGGATGCTGCTGTTTGTCTGCAGTGTTCCCTGCTCTGTGGACTTTCGGGGATGTGTGCGTGTATGCATATTTGTTTGCATGTATTAATTAGGCTATGCAGCACTTTCCTCCCCAGAATTAAAGCGGAACCTCTTCACAGGCCCCTTTGAAGCAAATCTCTGTCGCTTCAGAGGAACTTTCATCGCCAGCCAGCGCTCTGTGGCTCCCGTTCGCATTGTTCCCTTCAGTCGGAACAAAACTGCTCCTGACAGTGGTGCAGAACAAGGCTTTCGGTCCCCAGCGCTGCCAAAGCCCATGCTGGGATGCCAGAACCCGGGGAGGGGAGAGAACCAGGAGATGAAGGCTTTGGTTCGCCGGTGCAATCCGTGCTGTGTGAACCGGATGGGAGCTGCCTTTGGCTTGTGGCACATCGCAACCTGCTGCTGCCACTGTCTGCTGGGAAGTGGTGGGCTGGGATTGCTGTGGGATCGCCTCTCCTCACTGCCCCTGCCTCCTTCACCCTGGAGGGGCACAGGCTGCGAGGTCTCACTACAGAGCGCATCCACAAACACCCTCCTGTTTCCCCCCCAGGAGTTTCGATACTCGAATCTCCGCCTACGAACACAGCCCCACAGCAAGCCCTGAACCCAGCA